CAAGTTTGGGATGGAATTTGGTTATTAGCAGAAAAGGAAGGTGCCTGGAAGAACAATTTCAGGAAATTTATGCCAAGCCAAGAAGAGAATTTGGGGAAAGAAATGGACTCTAGCAGTTCAGATTTATCTAGAACATAATGATTGGATGAGCTGATAATGGTATCTTCTGTGTGTGCCTAAATCTACCAGATTTGAAAAATAACAAAGCAAGGCACACATCCGGTTAATCATTTTATATACCATGTTTTAAGTTTAGGGACTATTTTTTTTTTAAAAAAAAAAGTATGGGGATCCACCTCATATAATATTTCTCCAAGTATGAACTTGTCCAGTTTATCACGTCGGGATGCTATTGTATTTATGCAATAGGCTTTAGAAAAAAATTATGAGAGCTAGACTTTGGGCTTTTCTAAAAAGAGAAGGAAAACATCAGCTTCATGATATTTGGAGGGAGGGAAGGAGGAAACAAAAACTTGTTAAGCCATGGGAGTTAGTCCCTAATACTTACCAGTCTTTCTCCCACAGGCACCTCATTTATTAGCACATCTTCAGTGAAGAAAAAGAGAGATGCGCGTGGCTTTTCTCTTATCACTGATAAGATAGCAAGCAGCTGTTCACAGTAGTGATTGGAAGGCTTGCCAGCTTGATTCTCTGCCTAGCAGGGAAAGCTTAACCTGCTTACTTTGGCATGGCCAGTGGCTTTTAAAAGCACTGAAAGCCTGCAGGGAGGAAGAAAAATACTGCAGACGTGAGGGATGGTGACCTAGGCCTTATCTTGGGGGAAGGGGGGGTGGACAAACTACTGTTTTTGTTGTGCTCCGTTCTCTATCCAATTCTGTATCAGCTGGATTTATGCAGAACATTGGGCTAAAACATGGTTAATTCAGAGTCGAGTCTGCTAGATAGCCCTAGAAAAATTGGGTTAAATCCATGAACCATGGCTCAGTTAACTATGGATAAACATGTCTCAGAAATATATACTGAAAATTGGGATGATAATATGAACTGTTATAAAATCAACTAAGTAAATTATGATTATCTTGTAAAACATGAATGAATTAAAGTATAGTCAAATGATAGATTAATAATGATACTAAGGTATTTAATTTTTGATTGACAATATGAGATCATATGCAATGTAATTGTAATCGAAGACTACGAAATGGAAGCACAAAACAATTTGTAAACCAACCGGCACACTGTATGTACATATATGGAAGATGATTTGATGTTTTTATGTTTTGTTTGTTAATGTTTGTTTTTAAAAACCAATAAAAATTTTAAAAAAAGAGAGAAAGAAAAATAATAATATAATAATAATAAAAAGAAATATATACTGAAAATCTCTTCCTCCAGTTGGCTGAGTTTGCAAAAGGCATTCAACCAAATAGCAACCAGTTAGCATAGCATGTTGATTAAGCCATGGGGATCTGTATAGATTTTCTCTCAAGCTCCCTGGCATGGAAGAAAGCAAGGTTGGTTCCTCCTACTAGCCATATATTTTCTCACCTTTATAGGAACGTGGCTGGAGAATAGGTCAACAGCAAGTGCCCAGGGGCCTCTAGGTAAGTGCAAGATTGATCTGCTTTCTTCAGAAGGCCCCAGGGCCTCCCAGCTAAAGCTGCTCTGCTGAATAACTTAGACTAGAAATAACAGCGGCTTGTTGGTGCTTAAGATGTCCTTCATGCTCCAGTTGTATATGTGTATTCAAGGTATGGCTTTCGTTTAAGATTCCTTTCATTTTCATCCTTAGTTTGGTTTAGTTTTCCGATTGAGGAAATAAGACGTTAGAGCCGTGTAACCAACAGATGGTCCTCAACTTACAACAGCTCATTTGGTGATGGTTCAAAGTTACAATGGCATGTGATTTACATTCGGATGCTTGACCGATTCATATTTATGATGGTTGCAGAGCCTCACAGTCATCTTTTGTGACCTGCTGACAAGCAAATGGGGAAGCCAGATTCACTTAACCACCGTGTTACTAATTTAATGGCTGAAGTGATTCAAATGTGGCAAGAAAAGTCGTAAAATGGGGGAAACTCACTTAACAAATGTCTCACTTAGCAACATAAATTCTGGGTTCTGTTGAGAGGCTGTTTCTAAAAAGTGAGATTACTGAGGAATGCATCCTGGGGGATGTTATGGGGGCCAACGGCAGACCCTCTTTTCCATTCAGGGTTTGTTTGTATCCGATGTCTTAAACCAAGGGTCTTGAAACTTGGCAAGTTTAAAACTCCCAGAACAACTCCCAGAATTCCTCAGCTAACGTGACTGGAGGAGGAATTCTGGGAGTTGAGGTCCACCAGTCTTAAAGCTGTCAAGTTTGAAGACCCCTGGCTTAAAGAGACATGAGAAAGGAAAGGGATAGTTTCTCTTTAAGGCTCAAAATTGGTTACCATGATTGAAAGGGGTGGGTGGGCTCTTTTTCTTCCTTGTGTTTTTTGCTTCTGAAAGCACATTGTCTCCCACTCCAAAACGTCAGTATGGGCGATGAGCTGAGATCAGCCCAAAAAAAAAACAATACGTTGTTTTAAAACAGGGATGTCCAACTTTGGTAACTTGATGACCAATAGACTTCAACTCCCAGAATTCCCCAGCCGGTATGGGGGATTCTGAGAATTGAAGTCCACGGGTTTTAAAGTTGCCACAGTTGAACATCTTTCTTCTTGAAGAAAGATGGTTTGACAAAAGTGAAGGGAGCAGATGAAAATTTGCAATGTTGTTGAAATCCTCTCCAAATCTCTCCCATCTAGAAATGCCATTCTCTGGCCTCTCCTGTTCAGGCTCTTACCTCTGAGGGAGGGGAAAATGCCTTTAGCATCTCTGAAAAGCCCCTCTCTGTTTTCCTTTCTTCCTACCATCTCTCTCTCTCTCTCTCTCTTTTTACTTTGCAGACATTGGAGGAGGAGGGCCTACAATTTCAAGAGGAGCCTGGTAGCATCTTTTCTAACACATTTCATTAAAAGGCATAAGCTTTTATGAGCCCTAATTCAGGCTTTTTAACAACATCCATTATTCAAAAAAGGTGCTACCAAGCTGTTCCTGGTATTATTTTTTTCCTCTCCTTTCTTTGCAAACCTTTCTATTATTCAGGTAGATTTTTATGGATATTTTTTTTTGTGGGCGATAGGGAGGGATAGAAGTTCTGTATCTTTATTTGGCAAAACCCCACGGAAAAAAAGTTTTCCGGACATAGAATGGAAAAGTACAGGTAGTCCTTGACTTATGACCAGAATTGAGCCCAAAATTTCTATTGCTAAGTGAGACATGTATTAGGTGAGTATTTCCCAGTCGATGACCTTATTTGCCACAGTTGTTAAAGGAACCATTGCAATTAATTTAGTAACATGGATATTAAATGACTCTGGCTTCCCCATTGACTTTGCTTATCCGAAGATGGCGAAAGGTTGATCACATGAACGAGGACATTGGAAGCATCATAAATATGAGTCAGTTGCCAAGCATCTGAATGTTGATCGTGAATTTTGAGATGCTGCAACTTATGACTTTATGGACATAAGGGTGAAAATGGTCTTAAGTCATTTTTTTCAGTGCCATTGTAACTTTGAACGGTCACTAAATGAACTGTTGTAAGTTGAGGACTACACCTATACCTCATTCTCTGATTTTCTACTTTATGGCTTCTGTTTCAGAGTAGACTTTGGGGTGGGGGTGGAGGGATGTAGAAGGAAAATAGCCTTAGTACACCTGCTTTTTTCTTTGCCTTATTTTTTTTGTAATTTTTTTTCTGCTTGTTCTCCTTAAAAGTGTCAACGCTCTATAAAGTATGAAGAGAGCCCCCCTATAGTGAAGGAAACATGGCAGATAAGAGGAAGCTACAAGGTAAGCTCCGTGGCTGGGCTAGGAGCCTGGTTGTGTAGCAGAAGAGCAGAAGGTCTGTTCACCGAGACTAGCGAGAAGAAAGAGGCGGGCATAAATTGAGCAAAAGGCAAGCAGGATTCTTACTTTGAATACCTGGCACAGGATGCTGTATTTTCCAAAGGAGTATGGTATGTGATTAGGGAAGTGTGAAAAGAGTTAGGTTTTCTGTTGGTGTAGGGAATCAATAAAATGGGGGCAATGGTGCTAGAATTCGGGAAGAAGGAGAAACAGGCAGCATTTCAAAATTCCGATTGTCTTTCTTCCCCTTTTAGGCTTCATGAAAGGTATGAACCTTTTAGTTCCTGTGATTGCTTTCAACTAATTTATCTTTTTTCCTCCCCCTCCCAACCCCATTCGTGCAGGTGAGATCGATCGGTGTCTCAAAAAGGTATCGGAGGGTGTGGAGCAGTTCGAAGATATCTGGCAGAAGGTGAGGGCTGTTGTCATCTCTCTGCCTGGGTTCTGTCCAAACTCTGTGATTATCACCGGATGTAGTTCCTCGTCCTGATTTTATTTTTGGGAATGGAGGATCAGGGAGAGGAGGGAAGAAGTCCATTTGGCTCCTGCTTTTCCTTTATCCAGTTTGATTTTGCCCTCCACTTCTTCCATGACGTTGTGAGCTCCAGCCTTGATCACATCTTGGGGTTATTTTTTCTCTCTTCTCTCTTCTCTCTCTCTCTCTCTCTCTCTCCCTCTCTCTCTGCTACAGCTCCATAATGCAGCGAATGCCAATCAGAAGGAGAAATATGAAGCCGATCTGAAAAAGGAGATTAAGAAGCTCCAGGTAAGAATGAGCCAAGCTTGAGTATTCTTTGACAACCCAATCTCGAGTGATTAGTTATGGGGAATAGCCTGAAATCCAGGGAAAGGCAGATGGGAAATGTTGCCCCCAAAAGGCTTTTGTTGGATGAGAAGAGGGGATGGGGGAGTTTGCCAAATTGCAGTGCAGTGTTTGCATTCCTCTCCCGGAGACCGAATCAGAATCCCTCCGTTTGCCAAAGAGTCTTGTCAAGCTCCAAGGAAATCAGGGGATCCAGGCAGATCAAATGGGTGTAAAGATTTATTGCAAGCTTAAGGTCTCTGCCAGAATCCAAGCTAAGATAGATAAGAGTCACAGGAATTCAAGGTGGGCGGGACTTAGATCTCTTGTGGGCAGGAAGGGATTCATGACTGATGACACGTTTGACCCTTCCCTTGGGCTCATCCCGGTCATCTCCTACAGGTCTAAGATATTTTCAGACTATGTGTTCCAAAATGTCCTTTGACAGCTCCCTCCATTCTCCGCTATGATTATTTAACTCAGAAGTGCTAATAATAAAAATTCAGATAAATAATTGGAAGTTCAGGGAAACATGTTAAAATCATCACGCCCTACATTTTTCACAACTATGTTGGAAAAAGCAGAATTTGAGTGACGAGAAAGGAAAGAGGTAGCAAGCTATGTTGAGTTGCTGGTTGCTTGGCTTCTAACAGCAGAAAGTGAAATCCAATAGTTAAAGGTAGTCTGACTTACAACCGTTCATTTACTGACTACTTGGAGTTACAAAGCACTGAAAAAGCTGGCTTGTGACTGATTCTTGCATTTATCACATGAGCATGAAAATGTGGACACTTGGCAACCAGCATTATTTACAATGGTTGCAGTGTCCAGGGTCACATGATTGCTATTTGCAATCTTCCGAATCAACTTCCAATAGGCCAAATCAATGGGGGAAGCTGGATTCACTTAACAACCATGTGATTCACTTAACAACTGCAATGATTTGTTTAACGGTGGCACAGAATATTGCAAAGTTGAGTATGACTCATTTACAACTATGTGAAAAAGTTCTGCATGCTTTCAGTTTTAAACTATTTACATGTTTAATCAACTTTTCACTCATAGAAACCACACAAAATTAATACTTTGATGAAAATTTCTGTAATCGGATTGAGATGCATAATATTTATTAATATAACCAAAGTCTTTTTAAGGTTTTGAGTGAGTTTATGTGCTAAAACAAACACAACTTGAATTTTTGAGAATGTTAGGATCGGAAGTAGCCAATCAGCAGCAAGCTTTGGCTGACCAATCAAAATGCACAGAGGCTAAATCTATGAGCCAATCAATGTTGTCATACTCTCTGACTATCAATAGCCATAAAAAGCATCGAGAAATTTAATTTAGCTCTGGCTGCGGGCAAGGATGAAGGCCTTTGCTTTCACCAGTACTGAGCAGCAGCATCGCATCATTGTGCTTCATGAAGAGGGTTACTCCTATACAGAAATAGCCAAGAGAGTGAAATGCCATCGCACCACATTGAGCAGAGTGGTTGAAAAATACCAAATAACTGGTTCAGTTGATGACAGGCTCCGCTCTCCAAGAAAGTCGACAAAACATCAAGATCATTTCGACAACGCATTTCGATGGCTGACAGGAAGCTCACCTCACCTCAGATTATAAGAATTTGGGGTGAAATGTGATGTAAAAGTGTGCACAAGCATAGTGCATCGCAGACTGCTTGCCAGAGGGCTCAAAGGCTGCAGGGCTTGAAGTAAACCTTTGCTCACAGATGCTCACCGCTCTCGTCAACGTGTGTGGGCCAAGAAGTATGCCAAGTGGGCCAATGAACAGTGGGCCAAGGTCATCTTCAGTGACGAGAGCAGTTTGACTGGGAATCAAATAAGTATGTCAGAAGATTTCCAGCTGAAGAATTTAGGCCATACTGCCTGAATCTATCTGTGAAGCATCCATTGCACATGAAGATCTGGGGCTGTATTGTTGCTTCTGGTATTGGTCGGATACAAATTGTGCAGGGAATCATAAATTCTAAGCAGTATGTTGAAGTCCTGGAAAAGACCATGTTTCCTTCAGCTCAGCAACTTGTAAGGAAGGACTTTTACTTCCAGGATGACAACGCTCTTTGTCATTGAGCCAAGTCCGTCCAGCAGTGGATAAAGAAGCATGGTGTTCAATTCCTGGATTGGCCAGCTCAGAGCCCAGATTTGAACCCAGTCGAGGACTTGGGGCCAAGATTGGTTACGAAATAAGCAAGAAGCATCCGAAGACCAAGCAGGAGCTGATTGAATCCATTATTGCAGCCTGGGACCACATTGTCACCAAAGATCATGTGCAAAGGCTTATACAGTCTATGCCAAAGTGATGCTGGCTGGTGACAAGCAATAAGGGCTGGCCAATTTCATATTAGTAACCATGTTTGCTTACCTAAAGGTTCCTTTTTAGGGCCACAAACAATAAAAATGTTAACAAAACACTAGCATCGGCCTTAGTAATTGCAACACTGGGTATGCATCAGTTAATCTGTTTTGATAGTCATTGTAAGCATGCATTGTAAGCATGCAAGAAAATTCACAATCCCCATCCAAACAGCACCAAATTGCAAAAAGCTTATGCTTTTCATTTAAAAACCACCAGTATTTATTTAAATATATCAATATTTGCATAGCAGTTAGCATAAAATATCATAAAATCAATGGCCTATCCAAAAAATGTCATAAACCGTAAAGCGTGCAAGACTTTTTCACACAGGTGTAACAACTGCCTCACTTAGTTGTTAATTAGAAATTCTGTCCCAATTGTGGCCATAGATCAAGTACAGGTAGTCCTCGACTTACAACGGTTTATTTAATGACTGTTCGAAGTTACAGTGGTACCGAAAAGAGTGATTTATGACAGTTTTTCACACTTATGAGCATTGCAGCATCCCCATGGTGACATGATCAAAAAACTTGGCAACTGGCTCATATTTATGATGGTTGCAGAGTCCCAGGGTTGTGTGACCCCCTTTTGCGACCTTCTGACAAGCAAAGTCAATGAGGAAGCTAGGTTCACTTCACAACCGTTCTAGTTTGCTTAACAATTGCAATGATTCACTTAACAATTGCAGTCATAAAATGGGGCAAAAATCACTTAACAAATGTCTCACTTAACAACATAAATTTTGGGGTCAATTGTGGTCATAAGTCGAGGACTGTCTGTACCTCTATAGCATAGGGGTATAGAAATGAAGTCTATATGTTTGACCATTTATTTATTTAATTTATATTGCTGCCTATTCGCTCATGGCGACTCGAGGCGGCTTACACAATGTAAAGCCATATTTAAAAATAAAAATAAAAGTAAAAATAAAAACAATAAAAACTAACAAAAAGAATCAAATAAATTAGTAAAGTACAATGGAACAAAATTTGGGAAAACAAAAAACAAAACAAAAAAACAAAAACCAACTCCCACCCCTTCCTGATGACAGCAGATCACGCTAGCCATTTGATGGGCTCCATCCCACTGTGGATTCTCCAGGCCCGCTGGCAGAACCAGGTCTTCAGTGCCTTCCAGAAGAGTATTAGTGAGGGTGGCATTCTAATCTCTGGGGGAATGATGTTCCAGAGAGAGGGAGCCACCATGGAGAAGGCCCTTCTTCTGGGTCTCACCAGGTGTATCTCCCTCAGGGGTGGGACCCGTAGCATTCCCTGCCTCCTCGCTCTAATGGGTCGGGTGGATGTGACTGGCAAGAGATGTTTCCTTAGATAACCCAGACCGAAAGCCACGAAGGGCTTTAAAGGTGATAACCAGCACCTTGAATTGCACCCGGAAGCATTTCTATCATCGTAAGCTTTCCCTAACCTGAAGACACCCAGAAGTGTTGAGTTTGTATAATTAATAATCACCATGATTGTTGGGTGGCTGTGGATTATGGGATTTGAATTTGATATGTTTAGTTGACACTAAGTTGGTAAAGACTGTTCTAAAATGTTTCACCGTTGTGAGTGTTACTTATCAGGACTAGTCTCTGCTGGGAAGATCTAATAATAAAGGGAACAGAATTTGATCGTGGGACTACTTTTCTATTTCTGCAGAGATTGCGGGACCAGATCAAGACATGGGTTGCATCCAATGAGATTAAAGACAAAAGGCAGCTAATAGACAACCGGAAACTCATTGAGACGGTAAAAATTCAAACAAAGAGAAAAGACTCTATTAGCTATTATGTGTCAGTGCTGAGCAAAAGTTCTGGTGAAATTGATGTTTTTCAAGGAAATTCTGTGGTTTTTGAAGACTAAATGAACCAGGTTTAATTTTGTCCAGTTTTAGGCTTAGTTCTTACCAGCTCAAATCAGCTTTTGCACTTAAGACTTCCTGATATTTTTATGCTTAGCTCCTCCTTAACAGTGTTGTCATTGGCTGCTAGCAGTGTGACCTCATAAAGGTGAGCCACCTGGCCATCTCACTTATTACTTAAGCTGAATAAGTGACAGAAAAGGGGTTCTGTGGGGAGCCCAGGACCTTTTTCCACACAACCTTCCTTAGAGTGACAACATGGGATAGATGGTAAGACCTTCTTAGTTTAAGGGTTTAACTGGTAGTGCTTGTGGAATGTCTCCTAAACTTTGAGAGAGGAGGCTTTGAAATAAGGGACTTTGCAAGGATCAAGCTGTATCTTGTATTTTCTAGGCAACCTGAATCAGTAGACATTTTATAATTTTTTTTGTGGGGGGAGGGGGGAAGGCACTCTTACAAAACTCCTTGTCTTATTTTTCTAGTGTCAAATCCAAGCACTGTGATTAAAACACTGATGGTTGGTGATCATTAGTATCTGTTTGCAGGAACAAAAATGCATATTTGCTGTATCGTTCATGATTCGGGGTGGTTTTCTGTGCTACATGACTCCATGTGATACTGCTCTGCGTATTTGTGGACAATACTCATTATTCACTTTGTGACTGAAAATGTCTTTTTGTGATATATATATAGTGTCAGTATTCTGTAGAAGCAGTTAAATATTAACATATTAATAAACACTTGAATTAGACAACCCACATCCTGTTGGGGAACTGTTTCAGATATATTTCCTTTCCTAAATGGAGAAGCAGAAAGACTGCGAGCAGCCAAAAAAGCTATAGAAGCAGGAGTGACTTCTGACTTCCTGCTGTTTTTCTGATTGAATTTCTTTGTGGGAATTTGGTGGGGAGCATCTGAAATCTTCCTTTCTCCTCTCCCTTCCCTACTGCTCCTGGGTGGGAGAAAGAGCGAGGGATTGCAAGGCTGGCTGGGAAACTGTCATGAAACATTAAAAATGTAGGTCATTTGAGTGCTGCAGCAGCCAGTAGCACTGAAGCAACTTCAGTTTCCCCAAATTTCCTTCCCTCGGGGGTCCTGGATCCCAGATATTGGATACATTCTGTAAATTCGCCCCATTGAAATACTTTGGTTCAAAAATTGTTGCCATATGACACATCGTTTTACCTAATAGGGCACAACAGTGAGAGTATTAGTAGCATCTGGATGGGCCTGGCAAAACCATTCTTTTGATACTTTCAGTTAGGAAAATAATCAATCCCCCTGTGGTAGTAGCACCATATTAATGAGATTCACTAGTTTGGGTTGGCTTACTTATTTGAATAACTCAGCATTGTAGACAAAACAAGCTTATGAATTTTATTAAGGAAGTAACCACAACAGTTTAGGATCCTATCCAAGATTTCTGGATAGGAAGAAATATAGTGAATCCCTAATATTTAGGGGACTAAGATTCTGAGTCCAAGGATAGGCAGTAGAATTTATCTCTGGACAAGATTCATCACCTCCAATCAATACCAGGTTAAGGATGGTTTTGAAACCTAATCTACGAGTATTTAAATGGTCTGAGATCTCCAATTGGTTTTAATCTGCTCTGCAATCCAATTGCTGCTTCTTTTTGCAGCATTCAGGTTCTCCTAAGCTGGTTAAGAATCTCTCCAACCGATGGGAGACTGCAGAAATCCACATCCAATTAATCCTGTGTCCCTCCCCACATCCCAATATTTCTTCCCACCTGTTTAGTGATTTTCAAGCCACCAGACTGGTTACCATGAGGGAAGGGAGAGAAAATGAAAAGGACAGCTTAATAGTATCTTTGTGGCTTAAACTTTCCCAAAGATGTAGAATTTATGGGACATGCAGTGAGACGCAATCACCACCTCAGACTCCAGAATTTATTCTGCAGATTCATTCATCCTGTCTTTGTAGTGACTTTGCTTATCCTGAAGCAGAGCCAGAAGTTAGTTGCAATAGAAGAAAATATATGTAAGTCAGGATTGAATTGGGGGGTCCTTGGTGCTCTCTGAGCTTTGCTGTTTGCTTATTTACAGATGTTTCAGCACCCAAGTACTGTAGATAACAACACCGTTGATGCCTTCATGGCCTAGATGGGCAATGAAATGTCTGCAGGCAAACATCCAAGCTCAGGAGTCCAATATAAATTAATTGGTTCTGCTGCCTAGTACAAACAGTGGCATTGTATATGTTCACACAACTTCTGAAAATTTGAGAGCGGCAGAGATTTTACATATGGCAGGAGCCCTGTGATTTGATCATAAGCATTTGGGGTTTTCCCACCCTCCTTTCAGATCAAAAATGGTGGTTGAAATTATATTCATCAGGGCACTTAATTTTTTAAAAAGTTTATTGCAGCGTAGACGTGCATTTCAAATGATCCAATGTTAGAAAACTCCTGCTAGGGGCTGGATTCTGAGCCCTCCTGGGAACTGTTTCCTGTTTGCCTTAACTCATGGAAACATTGCAATCTCTCTTTCCAGCAAATGGAGCGGTTCAAGGTAGTGGAACGTGAGACCAAGACAAAAGCCTACTCCAAAGAGGGGCTGGGCCTGGCCCAGAAAGTGGACCCAGCCCAGAAGGAGAAAGAGGAAGTTGGGCAGTGGCTGACGGTGAGAACTGGGGGAAATGTGGCTGGTTTGGATTAGCAAAGCAACTTCTGGAGAAAGCAGGGAGCAGAACTAGACTGAAAATATAAAAGGGTCCATATTAGAAGTTACTTACCAGAAGTTACTAGATAGAACAAAGAGCATCTTGAAACTATGTGATCTTGCTGTAGTTGACGGTCTTAAGATCTAAAAGAGCCCTTTTCCTCATCCCCTCCTCTAAGAGAATGAAGCCAGGATTTTTGGTCTTCCAAGAAAGAGACTCTTGTGAATATTTTGGTTGTTCTGTGGCAAAAAGTCTCATGACAACCTGAAAAGAAATTCTCTTGCCTGAATAAGGGAGAAAAGTTCTGGTGATGAAGATGACCCTCGGCTAAACAGACAGTTAGTTGCGTGATGAGAAGAATGCAGCTGTATTCAATGAACTCGTTGAACGCAGAACAGAGATTGAAGCTGGCCATAGGATTAATCCTAGGGCTGGAAAAGACCTTGGAGGTCCATCTGGATCTGTTTTTCTCCTCTGAGCCCACAGGGAGTTTCTTCAACTCAATTCATATCAGTTATCCGTGACCTTATGTAGTTTGGGGAATAGGTTCGGGGTGTCCATGCTGTTGGAGAATGGCAGTTTGTTAACAGAAGTTGTGCATTTCTATCTCTTGGCCCATTGATTTTTTTTTTCTAACCGAAGTTTTATTTATTTATGTATCAATACTATAAGATACAGAAATACAAAAGAAAATAGTAGGAAAAATAGAGAAGGAAAAAGTGTGGAGAAAAGAAGAAAAAAAGGTGTTGACTTCCAACTTCCTTCACTGCAGTAGAATAAAATAACATCAAACCTCAATTTTTTACTTTTACACAATAGTATAAGCTAGCCATTTCTATAACCTATCTAATCAATAAAACCCAAAGTCAAAGTCTCATTTTTTTCCCCACCTCGAGCACAGTGTCCAGAAGCGGTTTCCAAGTACAAAGAAAAGCAGTTGTTATTTTTGTCCTTAATCAAAGCGATCAGTTTGGCCATCTCTGCTAACTCCCATCCACTTCTGCAGCCGTTCATCCATTGTGGGGGCCCATTGATTTTTTATTTAAAAAAAAAAGTTTAGGAAAGGTAATGATTTGAATTACAACCTGGCCTGGTTTTCTAACAGCGAAGAAGCTATTTACAAGGACTGTTTTCTGTTCATGCTTGGAAATTGGGAAAAGTTGAAATGTTTGGCTGTGAAAGTGGTGTCTTTACAGGATGTACCTTTGTGTTCAGCATTTTAGTGTGTTCCAGACAAACAATAGTGTCAGTTAAACACAAGCTTGTGGAAATCTTTACTCAAATGCAGGGAAAACAATCTCGAGTGGCACGGATGCAGCCTTTGTGCACATATGTGCACAGTTACTCATTTATCACACAACTCACACATGACCCTAAACAGCTTACCGAATTTAATGGAGCAGAATAAATAAAACTAGATTCAGGAGGAATGAATAGGTAACAAGGACTGATAACAAGAGCAGCATCTCCAGTTAGTGTTGATGTTAGACCCTTCTGGCTATAGATAATGGGAAAGACACTGATAAGGAAGAGCTGCAAGGTTGGCCAAATGGTAGTTTATAGTTCTTGAGATCCTGGCATTGCCAAGCTAATTAACGCACATAGCTTGTTAAGAATACCGTCACAAACAAATGGGGAGCTGGCTGCTTTTAGTAACACCTAATTGTCACCATCTGTACTTTCTTCATATATTTAAAGAAGAAAGAGAAACATTGAGATCAGGAGGAAATTAAATGAAGAAAACACAAAAAGCACCTCATACCCACATATGCATGTATGTACATACAAGCAAAAGTGGTAAAAAACAATAGACCAGAAATAACAAACGTGTTACTGCTATTCAGAGCAGCCCAGTGCCCTGGAGAAGCCTCATCAGGAAACAGCCTCTGCCATTCAAGATAGCATTTCATCAGATTTATGGACTGTGGCCCAGGAAATGTTATTCTTAAAATAAATCGGATGGTCTTTTTAAGGAGAGCCACCAGAGACACTTCAATTGTACAAATATGTGCTATATGCTGTGTATTGCATGTTAAATTACCCAGCAAATGACATCGACAAAACACTTTTTAGAAAATAGACCATAGGCAGGAAGTTAGTACAATTGCAATTCTAATGAAAGTGAAACATCCAGCCAGCGTACAAGGTATGACCCCTTATGGTCTCAATCTTTCACACATTTCCCAGAATTTCTGGGACTTTTCATTGGAAATTCCAGGCTGTAGATTGGTGGGGGTTTTTTACCCATTGGGTGGTCGGCAGTAATCTGCTTCATTAACAACGTTATTTTATATTTCCCGTTAGTTTTTATTATTACCCTAGTTAGTTCCTTTTTCCTCCATAGCTAAATAACCTTGTAACTATGTTTGCCTATTTCACTGGATAATGATCTGTCTGCCTGCTTCCTCTCCTCCCTCCGTCCCAGAATACAATAGACACCTTGAACATGCAGGTGGATCAGTTTGAGAGCGAAGTAGAGTCACTCTCGGTCCAGACGCGCAAGAAGAAAGGAGACAAGGATGTGAGTTGATGAAATATCTCTTTAGAAGCTTGTGCCTACAGCGCATTGGGGATGGATGAATGAATGGAGTAGTCCTGTGGCTCCATATATATTAAGATGTTCCAAGGTTGAAAATCCAGGCATTTAAAAGTTTGTCAAGTCTTTTACTGATTAGATCCGATCCTTCTTTTCATTCAGGAGCTCAAGGCAGTATACTGGGTACTTCTTATTTTTACCACAACATCCCTGTGAGGTGAGCTGGGCTGAAGAGAGACAAAGTAACTGGCCCAAAGGAGCTTCCATGACTGAGGATGGTTTAGAAACTGGGTCTTCTTGGAATCAGTCCAATATCAGAGACAGGTTAACTGAAGGGTAAATTGGCAGTCACTGCATCGTAAGAGGATAGCCTAAGTTTCATGTCTGAGTTGGACTTGGCCTTTCAGAACATAGCGTATCTGAACTTGGCAGTTATTTCAGAGGCATGTTTTATCTGTCTTTCTTTTTTCCAAAAAGCTTGAGCAGTCAGTAACATTTGTAGAGCTTTTTCCATCGTTGTGGTCTCCAAAGATTGGAGAGACAGGATTCCCCTTTCCAGGAGTTTTGCGACACCAAATACATTTGGAGGGCATTTGCAGGTCAGGAAATGGTGCATTATAAAATGTGCCCGTGCCCATCCCAACCCAAAAGACTAGGAATTCACTAAGTCAGAACCCAACAACCCCCCCCCCCCTCCACCTTATAGCTCACCGCGGCACTTCTTCTCAACTTTGGCAACTTTTAAAGATGTGTGGACTTCAACTCCCATAATTCCCAGCCTGCATTTTAAAAGTTGCCAAGGTCGAGGAACACTGGCTTAGCGTGACCCAACTTTCTGTCCTTCCCACGGGAAACAGAAGCAAGACCGGATCGAGGGCCTGAAGCGGCACATTGAGAAACATCGGTACCACATCCGGATGCTGGAGACAATCCTGCGCATGCTGGACAATGACTCCATCAACGTGGACTCTATCCGCAAAATCAAGGACGATGTGGAGTATTACGTAGATTCTTCGCAGGACCCCGATTTTGAGGAGAATGAGTTTCTCTACGATGACCTCGACTTAGAAGACATTCGTAAGTGTCGCCTCTGGGCAGCAGACTGTCGTGCAGGAGATTACAGTTGAAATGGTTGCCATAAAATCAGCATAGTTTTCCTCCCCATAAAACCCAGGATCTTTTCAATGTAACGGCAGCATCTGCCTTCAGAGCCCCTTATATTTTTCTTTTTCAATGTTCCTGGCAGATTTTCTTCTGCTTCTTGAACTGCAGTCATGACTGTACGTTCTCATTTAACAACCACATTCCATTCCAACGGTTGTTAAGCAAAATGGCCACTAAATGAATACTTGAGAGAAAGATGATGGAAAGATCACTCTTAGCTGCCGTCTCTTTCAGATAAAGTTCTCTGTACAGTGTCCTGGGTCTGGATGTTTTATTCTCTTTCTTTGCCCCCTCACAAAATGGAGAGATTGTGTAAACAAGCGATTTCTTGCTGAACTGCCTTGGTTCCCAGAGTTCCCCTAAAACATGCTAACTGCAAGTTAACCAGTCTCAGTTCTGTGACTTTAATTAGCTGATTAGAACCTGAAACTGACCAACTCTTAATCAGTTTTATCCTGATGGCTTTTATTGTCAGGCATCACCAGTAGGAAAATGTATTTTTAATACAGTTTACTACCATTGTACTTGCAAATAGTCACCAACTAAGGCAATTGCAAAACAAGGCACGGCTGTAATTTTTACTCATTTGTCAGAACTCATTTGTTTTTCCTCCAAGAAATAATGATGGGATTTTCTTTAAACAAAAATAGTTTTTTGCTATTAGCTCTCCTTTCATTTTTATGTACAAGTAGTCCTCAACTTACGGCCACAATTGAGCCCAAAATTTCTCTTACTCAGCAAGAGTTGTTAAATGAGCCTTGTCCTATTTTTGCCACAGTTGTTAAGTGAATCACTGCAGTTGTTAAATTAGTAACAGGGTTGTTAAGTGAATCTGGCTTCCCCATTAATTTTGCTTGTCAGAAGTCAAACAAAAGGGGACCACGAGACCCCGGAACACTGTGACCGTCATAAATATGAACCAGTTTTCAAGCATCCAAATTTTGATCCTGGGGAATACTGCAAGAGTTGTAAGTGTGAAAACTGTCACAAGTCCCTTTTTGCGATGCCGTTGTAACTTTAAATGGTCACGAAACAAATGGTTGTAAACGGAGGACCACCTGCGTAAGAGTAAGTGTGATCCTTGAAAGCTTCTGCATGAGACATTGGTTAATCTGCAAGGTGCAAAAAGACTGTTCTAATTTACAAAAATCTACCGTGGTTCTTGCATCTAGAACAGTGGCCCCCAACCTCTTGGGCCCCAGGGACGGTTCTGTGGAGAGAGGTTTTTCCATGGACTGGAGGCGGGTGGGGTTGGTTTCACATGCCTGCATCCCATGGATGGGGCTTTGCTTGTTTGCCTGGCCCAGTTTCTGGCATTGGGGACTCCTGATCTACAATTCAAATATACCAAGTAAGTTTCCTGTGTTTGCCTCATAATGTTTCTGCCTGGTTGCAGAAAAACGTCTCCTTTCATCTTCTCTTGCTCTTGGTCTTCCAGCACAGGCACTCGTAGCCACTTCCCCACCCAGCCATAGCCACATGGAAGATGAGATGTTCAACCAGTCCAGCAGCACACCCACCTCGACCACATCCAGCTCCCCAATCCCGCCCAGCCCTGCAAACTGCACAACGGTAAGGGGGGGGGATCCTTGGTGACGATGGTGAGGAAACGAAGCATCCATGCATGAGCTCTGAGGAGGGCTTCAGGAGGTCACCTCCCAGGCTTACTCTCAGGGGAACACCTTGCACTCGGGGCCCTCTAGGTGCGTCCACCCAGTTCACATGGCAAAGGTTACAAATGAGTTTTCCGTTGTCGCCTTCTGTAAGTCTGCTTAACTAGTCTGCCCAGTCCTCTCAAATGTCCAAACGGTCTCCCTTCCAAATGCGAACCAGGGGTGAACACTCGCTTCTCATCTTAGACAGATGGTTAGAGGCTGCTTTGTGCTGAGATACTCAACCTTTCTTTTTCCTTTTTAGGAGAACTCTGAAGATGATAAGAAACGAGGCCGGTCAACAGACAGTGAAGTCAGCCAAGTGAGTTTGAAGCCTGGGGTCCTTCACCTTGTAAAGGCAGGGTGGGAGAGGCTGGGAACCATCAAGTTTGGATTAAGGAGAAGGAAGGGCATTAGGACTCTCTTGGGGAGGAAGAAGTGTTGGGACTGGTTGGTTAGAACTAACTAAGATGCATTGTTCCTGATACGGTACAATCTAGTTTTAATGGCTTGAGCCAATTCCCGAATTGCCCCAGATAAATCGCTTTGAGAAATCGAACGATTTCAGATCTCTTTGCATGCAGAAATACTGCGTGTTAAGGCACCGTTTCTCTCTTGGGCCTACTAGCAAGGCCATATTAATGGACGAATGCATTTCACTTGACCAATTCCATGTAGGTAGCTCTGTAAGAGAACTGACTTCAACAAGTCTGAAATGCTTCATTTGGCTATTTATGAGAAAGGACAAGGGAGTCAGAATTAGGAAATCCCTACAGTTTTATCTTTGTAATGGGGGAAAAAAACTTTGCAACCCTATTTGTCTTTTTCTGGTAATCCTCACCAACCACAGCTGACCCTGGCATTAAGCATTGGAGTCATAAAGTGACACATCATGTAACTCCGCCTAGCCTATGACAGCAGTTCTGACTGTGGTTGTTAAGTGAATCCCCACAGTCATTAAGTGTGATATGTAACTGTGACTTGCAACGTCCTGGCGTCTTACCCGTTGGCCTTGCTTGTCAGAAGCCCACGCTGAGAATCATAAGCGGCAATCACGATCTTGGGACACTGCGACTTGTAAATGTGTGCTGGTCACCAAGCACTCCCTCAAAAAATACAAAATACAATACATTAAATCTATTTTCTTTTTCAATACTTTATTAGCATTGCTTTTAAAAAAGCATAAATTTTTAAAAAAAAAAAAATCAAAGAAAAAAGGTAGAAAATAAGAAAATGTCAAAAGTTTGGAAAATAAGTTAACCATGCTCATAGGTCATCCCAGGTACAGGGCCTCCTGCTTGAGGAGGGGGTTGGACTAGATTTAGGAGACCTCCAAGGGTCCCTTTCAACTCTTGTCATTCTGTTCAGTGACCACAGGGATGCCGTGATAGCCACAGGTTCTAGGATTAGTCATCAACCTCCTTGCTCATCACCGCCGTAACTGAACAGTTGCCAAACAAGCAGTCAGTAAACGAGGACTACCTGCGATTGATTTGTTTTTCATCTCTTCCATTTGTGTTGGCCTGGAGGGTCTCCCTCTTGGCCAGAGAGGTGGGATTTCTTGGGGTAAGACAAACTAAAACCAACCTTCCGTTCTCTGTTCTGCCCTAGTCCCCAGCAAAGAACGGTTCAAAAGGCCTCCACAACAACCACCACCAGCCTCCTCCCACCATCCCTCCCAGCTACCCGATGGGCGGCAGCTCTAGCACATCGTCCTCTCTGGGCAATGGGCCTGGCTCCAACAGCAACGGGGCCATTGCTGGCAGCGGGAATGCAAGCAGCAAAGCTAACCCTCCGGCAGGGCACGCACCAACTACCCCGACCCCTTATGCACAGGCTGTGGCGCCCCCGCCTCCCAGCACCAACGCCTCCCAGCCCCGGCCTCCCAGCACCCAGCAAAACGCCAGCAAGCAGAACGGTGCAACCAGTGAGTTTGCCGTGGGGCAGGAGGGGGGCTTCTGGGGGGGGGGCTGCTCTTTCGGATTTTCGGGGCTTTCTCGGGTGTGGAACCCGCAGCCCTGCTGCAGAACACGGCCTTTAAAGGAAGCTTTTTGCCATCGTTGGCACACACAGGCGAGCTTTTGCTTATACAGGTAGTCCTCAAGTTATGGCCGCAATTGAGCCCAAAATTTGTGTGGCAAGGCAAAACATTTGTTAACTGAGTTTTTTGCCCCTTTTGCCACAGTTGTTGAGGGAATCATCGCATTTGTTAAGTTGGTCACACAGTTGTTAAGTGAATCTGGCCTTCCCGTTGACTCTGATGGCCGCAAAAGGGGATCCCATGACCCTGGGACACTGCAACTGTCAAATAATATGAGTCAATTGCCAAGAATTTGAATTTTGATCATGTGACCACAGGGATGCAATAATGGTCGTAAGTGTAAAAAAAATGGTCATAAGTCACTTTTTTCGCTGCCATTGTAACTCTGAATGATCACTGAATGAACTGTCGTAAGTCGAGGACTACCTTTATATCATTGCTGTTAATCCCACGGTGAGCTCAGTATAGGCGGTCCTCAACTTACAACTGTAATTGAGCCCAGAATTAACGGTTGTAGGTCATTGCAGTGTTAGGTCGATTCATCCATGTGAGGCATCCAAATGATCACTGCAGCCACTAAGTGAGCACTTGTCATTAAGCATTTTTCCCAAGTGGGGTTTTTTTTTTAATGGGAAAAAATAAATAAATGCTGGAAACCAGCAGAAAACATAAATTGGGGTCATATGACAGTGGGATGCTGCAAACAGACATAAAGGTGATCTGGCTGCCAAACCCCCAAAATGACATCACGTGACCACAGGGTATATAGTGACTGTAACTCTGAAAACATGTTCATAAGTTGCTCTGGGGAGGTCTGTTGTAATTTCTAATTGTTGTTAAGTGGCCAGTCGTAAAGCCGAGGACTACTTGCATGCAGACCGGGGGTGTCAAATTTGACTTCATTGAGGGCCGCATCAGGGTTGTGTTTGACTTGTGGGTGCCAGAGTGGGTGTGGCCAGCTCGATATCACTTGCGTTGGGGGTCCCTGTCGGGGCCCAAGCACTCTGCCAGCAAAATTGGGCTCCCGAGCTCCGTTTTCAGCTGCGACGACTTTCTGCAACCCTCTGTCAGTGAAAACTGAGCTCGGGGGGGGGATGCATGTGGCCCTCCTGAGCTCCATTTTGGCACTGCAGGCCAATCCTTTGCTGTTTCTAGAGTGGCCCCACGGGACAGATCTAAGCACCCTGGCCTTGAGTTTGACACCCCTGAGGTAGACTATTGTTTTACCCAAGGACAATCGTCTGCCATCTTGCTGTCCTCCTGATGTGTGGGATTCAGTTCCCGTAAATCCTGTCAGGCTTGGCCGTCAGTTGAAGTGCAACTCATCCAGAGGGCAGCTAGTTGTGGCAAAAGCTGGCGTGGGATAAGCAAGGAATCAAGAGGAGAGATCCAGGGGTCTGTGCCAGGGAGACCTTTAGCCTTTATGTCTCCTGCCAGGTTACAGCTCCGTGGTAGCCGACAGCAGCTCAGATTCGACACTAAGCAGCGGCAGCCAATCGTTGCCTAACCAGATAACGTCACACAATCCACCCAGTGCTTCCACGTGAGTATCTTCTTTCCCAGGTTTTTCTCCTTTTGCTCCTCTTCCCTCCCTTCCTCTCAATATAACTTTTTCCCCCTATAAGCCTGGTAGCTGGGCCCCAGGGTAACCACAGTCTCACCAGCACCCTCATGTCTTTCCAGGTGTAGATCAAGTTTTAACGTGCTTTCTAAGTAGTCTGAGGCCTAAATAATTAAAAAAAAACCTCAGGAACTGAGAAACAGCTTTGAACATCTTGCTACTTTCTTCTTTCCTGTTTGAAAATACTGCAGGTATTTTCGACTTAACAACCGCAATGAAGCCCAAAATTTCCGTTGCTAGGTGAGAAATTTGTTAAAGTGAGTTTTGCTCCATTTTGTGACCTTTCTCGCCACATTTGTTAAGTGGATCCTTGCAGCTGTTAAACCAGTAACACGGTTGTTAAATGAATCTGGCTTCCCCTTTCACTGTGCTCGTCAGGAGGTCGCAAAAGAGGATCCCGTGACCCCCGGGACACTGCGACCGTCATAAATATAAATCACGTGCCCATGGGGATGCTGCAATGGACATGAGCGTGAAAAATGATCATAAGCCACTTTTTTTCAGTGCCGTTATAACTTTGGATGGTCACTAAATAAACTGTTGTAAGTCGAGGAATGCCTGTATCTGCAGGGTGCCACACCCTCCTACTCCCATTCTAGATAGGTTTTCAAAAGCAGTTTGCTTTTTAACAGTGTCCTCTTAAAATTTGGGAATTGCTTCCTGTTAGCATCTGCAGAAAATCTATAGCAGACTGACTGAATAGCCTCTATCTGTGTTGGATTGCTAAAGGCATCAGGCCAACATACCAACTATTCCTCAGAAATACAGGATTTTCACCTTCATGGGGTGTTGTAGCAGGCATACAGCCTGGAACATGAATAACTTGGGGAAAAGAAATAATAGCTTCTTTTTTTTTTTTAAGAAGAGAGGGACTTGGCTTAATGAAGGTTGTTCAGTCCGGTTCCTTTGCCAACTCTACGCTAGCGAAGTGTAGGTAGATCCTGACTTACCACCAGTTGTTTAGCCACCATCCAAAAATTACAACAGCACTGAGAAAACGATTTATGATCAGTCCTCATACTTAAGACCACTGCAGCCCCCCATATCGTCACGTGATCAAAATTCTGCCGCTTGGCGACAGGCTCGTATTTCCAAGAGCTGCAGCATCCTGGGGTCGTGTGATTGCTGTTTGCAACCTTCCAACAGGCTAAGAGGGAAGCCAGATTCACTTAGCGGCTGTCTGATTCACTTTAACAACCGTGGCCGGGGGGGGGGAAAAAGTCGCAAAATTGGGCGTGCTTAGCGGCTGTCTTGCTTAGTAAGGAACATTCTTTCCCCGTTGTAATCATAAGTCGAGGACCCCCTCTGATCGGCAGCTGTCGTTATTTCCTTAAAACCTTACGCCTCTTCTGA